AAGCTAAATTTCAGCCTTTATCTCTTTGAATTTGACCAAATTACAACCTAATTTCAACTCTAATGACTCCGGAAGAAAAACAAAATAGAAATAAAAGGACATAATTACAGGCCAAAATTAAGAGGATTGCCAAAACAGTAATATATCCAACTTAATTCAACCACAACATTCATCAAATGGATTTGTACTCACCATATGCAAATGAATGTTATTCTAGATGCTCTGATACCACATGATGGATAATATACATACATGCGCAGCGGAAGTGAGCAAGAATCGAAATAACAATCTAGATGCATAATACAACCTAGGATTAAACATGAATGATCATACATTATGATGCTTAGAGATAAGTAGAGAAAAATACGAACCTTTGTAGCTTTTCAAAAATCTTGAAATAGCTCCAATGAAGGACCACTAAGAGATCTTCCTAGCTATTCTCAAGGCTTGGAATAGAGTGGTGGGACTCTTTTTAGAGAAGGAAAAATTTAGAGAAAAGTGGAGCTAAAAAGAGTTATGTAAGCTTTTTTTTTTTGAAAAAAAAGCCAAAGGTTTCAAGCCCTTTAATGTTTGAACAAAGGCCTTCTTAAATAAGCAAATTACATGCAACTCTTGCATGTCAAAGTTCACCAAAAGCTTACAACACATATTCCACTTATGCATGGCATGGCTAAGTGTCAAAATGCATGTCTAAGTTCACCAAAAGCTTACAACACACATTCCACTTATGCATGCATGGCTAAGTGTCAAAAAGTGGATTTTTGAGATTATTTAAATGTTCCACTCAACAAGTTAGTGGAATTTTCCACCAACTTGGTTAAAAACATTATTTTAATCTACTTTAGTCAACCTTTGACTTTCTCTGGTCAAAGTCAACTATTTGACTTTTTCCAAAATCCGATGTTTGATGAAATCCATGCCTCCGATTATGAATCCACATTCATAATTTTAATATTTAAATCCTATTTAAATATTTTGTCCAAATTTCTCAAATTGATATGATATATCAATTACTTAATCATATCTCATATGATTAACCTAATTCGTACGATTCGAATTATTCCTTCAAAATATTCCAAGTTTATTCCTATATGAGCTAGCTAGGGGATCTTATGGACCTACAGATTATGAGCTCCAACGATCCGAGATTAACCGGTTAAACTCTTTAACCTAGTTAACCAACATTCGTTAACTAACTTACCAAATTTAACTCTTTATAAATTTGGAAAATGTGCTCCTTACCTATTTCTGTAAGTTCATCAACTAACTTAATCATCAATTATGGTTGGCCGAGACTACACCGGTGTTGGCTTTTTTTTATTTTCTTTTTACTACAGGTTTAAGGAGATCCGAATGAGACCGAATCTTTATAAATATTTGACGGTCAACCCGTTCCGTCTTGTGTGCTTGCCAACCTGATTGGGCTCCCCAAAAATTTCTACAACAAAATTGTTAAAAGGAAATTATTTAAATTATATTCTTGAGAAACTAAATGACAAAAAATTGCATTCTAGCTTCTCAGTTTCCATAGATAGTAACCGAAAACTTTGTGAGATATTAGCTTACATTTTTTTTTTCCAAAAAAAGGAATATCAGCTTGTATATCAGTACATTATTGTTTTTTTAAACCATTTTTTTTTAAATACTCTAATTATAAAACTAACAATAAAAAACAATAGTACAAAAAGAAAAAAAAATCAAGATCCTAGGCGTTTTTTATTAACAAAAAGAAAAAAAAAAGTCAAAAAATCAAGATACTAGACTATACATTCATCTTTAAAGTAGATATTCTCACTCTTGATAATTGCTTGATAAATACTATTATCCAACTTCATAAAATTGTGAAACTATAATACCACAAGCATAGAATCCTAGATATAGATTCGACACATGCATCCTTCAAACTTGAATTTACCACCAACATCTTGAGATGCATTCAAGATTCAAGAGTCTTCGAGAATAATATTCTTAGATGACAAAGGAAAAAAAAAAAAGGAAGAAGCTTTTAAGTGTCGGCAAAAACAATGATGAAAGGGAGGGCCAATTCTAGACGCCTCGTGCCC